CGAAGTTCATGAGAAACTTCTTAATCGCGAAGCTATGCTGCTCTCTATGACCTCTGCATCTGCTGACACTCCTGTTACAGCGAACTTCGCCAACACTAGACCTGCCAACAATTACAACAGGCAGACTCAGCGCTACAATCAACCATGGAGCAACAACAACAACAACTCACAACAAAGATCACAGACTTACCAGAAACATGACAATCGTTTGACTAGAGGATACCAAGGCAAATGTCAATTGTGTGGAGTATACGGGCATAGCGCCAAGAGATGTCCCCAACTCCCTCAAACGTCATCCACTCCACGCAACAATCCCGGCTACAATGCAATCACGTCCCTGGCAGCTGAATGCAAATCTAGCTCTTGGAACTCACGATCCGGTGACCTCATGGATTATGGACAGTGGGGCGACCCACCACATGACAAGTGATCTCAACAATCTTGCTCTACACCAACCTTACACCGGTGATGACACAGTCCTCAATGGCGATGGTTCAGGTCTTTCCATCTCGTATATTGGTTCACAATCTCTACCCTCTTCCACTCGCAAACTCCTCTTATATATTATCCTTTGTGTTTCTCATATTCACAAAAACCTTATTTATGTGTATCAATTGTGCAATGCTAATAAGGTCTCGGTTGAATTTTTCCCGGCATATTTTCAGGTGAAAGATCTCTGCTCGGGGGGTCTCATTGCTCCACGGCAAGACTAACGGTAAACTGTATGAATGGCCAGTCTCAGCAGCAACCGCAGCCTCTTTCTTCGCAGTCTCACCTTCAAAACCAACCTACACAGACTGGCATTGTCACCTTGGCCACCCATCACCTCCCATTCTTCATAAAGTCATCTCAAACTTCTCTCTTTCATGTTCGCAATCTGTCAAACCACATTCTCTTTGTACTGACTGCTCCATAAATAAGAGTCATAAACTACCATTTCACCAGACCTCTATTCGCTCCACAAAACCCCTCGAATATATCTTCACAGATGTCTGGTCCTCTCCAGTTATCTCATGTGACAATTACAAATATTACCTCATCCTAATCGACCACTACACCAGATATACTTGGCTCTATCCTCTTAAAACCAAATCCCAAGTAATCGACATGATCAAACCTTTCAAAGCACTGGTGGAGAATCGCTTCAATGCAAAGATCAGGACTCTCTACTCTGACAACGGTGGAGAGTACATTGCTCTACGCCAATTCCTCGCAGACTCTGGCATCTCTCACTTCACGTCACCTCTACACACTCCAGAACACAACGGCATCTCTGAAAGAAAGCACATGCACATCGTGGAGACCGGTCGGTCTCTTCTAACTCACGCTGGCATGCCGAAAAGTTACTGGACTTATGCCTTTGCGACAGCTACCTACCTCATCAATCGGCTTACCACACCGATACTCAAGATGGAGTCTCCGTTTCAGAAGATTTTCGCAACACCTCCAAACTACGACAAACTACGAGTCTTCGGATGCCTTTGCTTTCCCTGGTTACGCCCTTACAACACCAACAAGCTGCAAAATCGCTCCACGCCGTGTGTGTTCATTAGATACTCTCTCACTCAAAGTGCATTTTTGTGCCTTCAACCAAACTCTGGCAGGATTTACGTCTCCCGTCATGTCAAATTCGATGAGTCCTCCTTCCCGTTTCAATATCTCAGTCAACCACCATCACCCTCATCTTCGATTCCCTCACCACTTCTAACACCGTCGACAGACCTAATACAAGTTCTGCCAAAAACTACGCCATTACAACAACCGCCGTTACCTCACCAGGGACCCACGAGCACAGATTCACACCCGTCAGTGTCGTCTGAAGGTAATAATTCTAACTCGATCTTAGATGCAGGACATCGACGCCGGAAGAAGACAACCTTTCACCCGATATCTCGACCACTAATCAAAACGACAACACCTCCTCACTCATCACACAAAATCACCCAGGCCCAAATGATATCTCTCTGGCCCAATCCAAAAATTCTCAAAGCCCAACCCAGACCACATCAAACCAAACACAAAGCCCAAATCCACCCACACCAAATCAATCACAAGCCCAACCCTCGCATCTCCCTTCCGTTCCATCATCTTATTCGCAACTTCCACCCGTACTCGTTCAAAATCCCAACAACAAACACAAAATGCAAACTCGTTGGAAAGACAACATCGTACAACCCAATCCCAAATATGCAAAATCTGCAACCTTACACCAAAATATCCCACCTGAACCTGTAACCGTGAATCAAGCGATGAAAGACCCGAACTGGCGCGGGGCAATATCCGGTGAAATCGACGCCTTTGCTGTCAATGAAACTCTTGAACTCGTTCCTCGTCCCCAAAACAAGAACGTAGTAGGCTGTAAGTGGGTTTTTAAGAACAAATTTCTCTCTAATAGTGTTCATCACAGGTACAAAGCCAGACTTGTTGCCAAGGGCTACAATCAACAATTAGGCAGAGACTACACAGACACATTCAGTCCAGTTATAAAATCAACTACGATTCGCTTAGTTCTTGACATCGCAGTCTCCAAGTCATGACCTATTCAACAGCTGGGCGTGAATAATGCGTTCCTTCAAGGGACATTGACAGAAGAGGTCTACATGGAACAGCCTCCGGGGTTCATCGATAAGGACAATCCCATTCACGTTTGCCGATTGAAGAAGGCTATCTACGGGCTGAAGCAAGCCCTACGAGCCTGGTATACAGAGTTAAAAACCTACCTTCTCACTCTCGGCTTCAAAAATTTTCTCGCAGATACTTCACTGTTCACACTTTCAACTGGCGATGCACATCTGTACCTCTTGGTATATGTCGATGATATTCTCATCACTGGCAGCAGAAAAACACACATCACCAGAATTCTATCCCTCCTGGCGAACCGGTTCTCCATCAAAGACCTGGAAGACCTCAATTACTTCCTCGGCATCGAAGCACATCGCACTTCCAATGGTCTGCACCTATCTCAGAGGAAGTATATTATCGATCTTCTCCACCGTTACAATATGAGTGATGCGAAACCAGTGACAACACCAATGGCATCGTCCCTTAAGCTGAGCCTCTTCTCTGGAACTTCTCTGGATAATCCCACAGACTACCGAAAACTCATCGGCAGTCTGCAGTATCTTGCGTTTACTCGGCCGGATATTGCCTACGCTGTGAATCGGCTCTCCCAGTTCATGCATCACCCCACAAACGACCACTAGCAAGCTGAAAAGCGGATTCTCTGATATCTTGTCGGCACTACGACTCACGATATCTTCTTCTCTGCCAAAAACTCTCTCACGCTTCACGCTTTCTCTGACTCCGACTGGGCGGGAGACTCCGATGACTATGTGTCCACCAACGCATACGTCATCTATCTCGGTAATCATCATATCTCTTGGACTGCAACTAAACAAAAGGGTGTTGCCAGATCCTCCACCGAAGCAGAGTATCGTGTTGTAGCTCATACCGCTGCTGAAGTTCGATGGATCTGCAACGTGTTAACTAAACTTGGTGTCACTCTCTCTACGTGTCCTGTGATCTACTGCGACAATGTAGGGGCAACGTTTCTCTGTGCTAATCCCGTGTTCCATTCCAGGATGAAACATATCGCTCTTGATTACCACTTTGTTCGTGGTCACATTCAACGCGGGATGCTTCGGGTGGCCCATGTAACAACCAAAGATCAGCTCGCCAACGCACTCACCAAGCCATTGTCGTGAGCACGTTTCCTTGAGCTGAGAGACAAGATTGGAGTCGCACAGCCCCTCCATCTTGAGGGGGCGTGTAAAAGACAGAACAAAGAAACTGTATATACTCTTTAGTTATTGCATATCCTCCTCTATTTTCACTTTCATATTCACAATACCTAGAATCATCTCCTATGTACAATATATATATATATATATATATATATATATATATATTGTGTACTCTTCCTGTGTGAACAATAAGATTCATTCTCTACAGTTTGTGGATTGTCTGTCTCTCGGAAAAGATCTTGTTGTCTCTCGGCGAAGGATCCATCGACTAATGAGTTAGTAAGCTTTTACTACTCCATCTTTGATAAGAAAAGCTGTCGTCCTCCTACAAGTACCTCTTTCTCTAACCGCATCGCTTGGGTGGATCCACCTCACAACAATGTTAACTTGTGACTTCCTCCTCCTATGTTTTTATGGGATGAAAAACGTTTGTTTGTGCGTTTTAAAAGGTTTATATGATTTATTTTCAAGTCTTATTTACATTTTAGCTAGGATACTCTTGAGTTGGATCAAGTGTTTCAGTCTGATTAAACCAATGAGCTAGCACTGTAACTTAGACCCGTAGGCATGTGCACCAAAATCAATGTGTAGACTTTCTTGAACATTGGCTAATGAAAAAATGAAATACTATTTGCAATCAAAATGTCTAGACAAATTCAACGGTTTATTTTCTTGCAATCTCTTTGTATTATATAAGAGGTAAAATTTGAATGTGTGTTAACAAATTCTTAAGAATGCTAGCAAAGAAATTGTTAAACCCCAAAAAAATGCTACATGGATGAAATGTTCAGACATTACAGTTAAAGTTCACATCACCCGATCTTTTATGTGGATGAATAGGTTTGGATTTCAGACCCAAGAGAAAGAAAAATATATATGCTAATATGAATTATATTTGGTTTTAATATATAGGTTTGGATTTTTAAAAAAGAATTCATATTAGCATTTTTTTTTCTTTCTCTTGGGTCTGAAATCCAACCTATATATTAAAAAAAAATATATGCTAATATGGATTCAGATCAATAGGTTTGAACATCTACATTGGTTTATAACCATTCTTGAGGATCTCAACTATTTAAAAGTAAACTAAACCAAATAAAAATGAAACAAGTGTAAGAAGAAGTTTTATGGGTATTTTAAATGTTCTCATCTAACTATCTAACACCTATTTCAGGCCCAGCTGCGTAAATCACTTTGAATTGCTCCGACAATCTATAAAACAAAAGGGGAAAAGACCTTAATTATATACAACTACCAATTTGACCTAACGCGGCGTAAAAGTTACAGTTGGAGATAATGAGGACTTGCCGTAGAACAGACACGGCAGCAACTCCGGCGTCATTGCTCCCCGAAACCCTCACAATAAAACCCATTGTTCAAGCGCCGTCGTGAGTTTTCAATCTCTTTTCACTTGTGATCTTTGAATTAGGGCTTTTAGATTTGCCTGCCTTCTTACGTTTTCTAACCCTTATGAATTCACCGCTTTCATTATATATTCCAAACATTTGAACATCAATGAGAAACGTCTAGTTCCATTGTTGTAATATTTCTTTTTCTTCTTCTTCTTCTAACTGTCGGATATACTGTATGCAGTAAAAAGACTAGAGGATCAAAGACGAAGAAGAAGTGTGTTACAGGATTTTGGGATCTAAAAATTCCCTCGGAGCTCCTGCAGGATATACTATCCCGGCTCGGACCAAAAGCTAACATACAAGCTTCCGTGGTCTGCAAGGCATGGTTTGAAGCAGCTGTTTCCGTCAGGAAGTTCCTGCCTCTTCCTTGGGCTTTTTATCCATTATCACAAGACGGAGACTACATTCTTTTTGACCCATCAACGTCTCAAACACATAAGCATAATTGTCCAGACCTAAAGGGCCATGAAGCACTCTCTGGTTCTAGGGATGGTTGGTTGCTTGTGGCAACAAGGATTGCAACAAGTAATAATTCCTCGTCGAAACGGGTATTCTTTTTTAACCCGTTTACACGGGAGCGTATCAACTTACCCAATATGTCACTCTTTATAAATTGCTTAGCTTTCTCAGCCGCTCCAACGTCAACTAGTTGTTTGGTGGTCTCCTTCTCACAAAAAAAGTAAAAGACTTAGCTTTGTAATCTCTACTTGGAGGCCTGGTGAAACCGTATGGACCAATCATCGCTACGAGAACAGATGCACTGGAGTATGGGAAAACTGTGTCTTCTCGAACGGTGTGTTCTATGCTCTCAGTAAGTGCGCCGTCCTCGGGATTTTTGACCCGTGTAAAGCAACGTGGGATGTTCTTCAAGTGAAGTCCTGGCCCAATTGCGACTATTGTCAGATAGAACTCTTTTTGATGGAGCATGGTGGGAACATCTTTGTTTTGTCTACACGCCGCTACACCTACGACCAGAAGTCGGTGTTTAAACTAAACCTTGAAGGCATGATATGGGAAGAGAAGAGCGAGATTTGTGGAATGACTGTATTAGCACGTTACATCGAGCTTGGTGTTGTCTCTCTGCAAAGATCTTGTTGTCTCTCGGCGAAGGAGAGGAACGGAAGATGTCCATCGACTAATGAGTTAGCTAGCTTGTACTACTCCCTCTTTGGTGAGAAAAACTCTCGTCCTCCTACAAGTACCTCTTTCTCTAACCGCATCGCTTGGGTGGATCCACCTCACAACAACGTTAACTTGTGACTTCTTCCTTTTGTGTTTTATGGGATGAAAAACGTTTGTTTAAGAGGTTTATATGATTTATTTGCAAGTCTTGTTTACATTAAAGCATGGTTTGTTCTTAGAACTTGTGGAGCAGAGAGTGCAACTAAATGGCAAATCTTCTTCGTTAATCATCATCGTTGCTCCGAATTATACTTAACAAGCAAACTTTAAAGTGATAACTTTAAGCATTTGTGTGTGTTGCAATAACAAATCTGAACGACAATAGTCGAGAACCGATTCGATTGAACGCAAAAACAAAAGAGAACGTACATCAGAACGAAGAAAATAAAATAAAATCTGAATCAGTCAAATCAGAAAGATCTTTCATTACCTCAATAGCCAAGCCAACAATCATAACTTCAGTTTGTGAAACACAGGCGGTTATGTTTGTTGAAAGTGTTAGAGCGATGTTACCTTTTTTATTTCCTTAGCGTTTATTCCGTTAGCGTTTCAAACCAAGTACAACTTTGTAATTTTTTTCACTAAAATATATTGGTAAAAATAATACTAATCGAATTGTTATTTTGTTATTATTTAGGAGTAAATTGTCATTTTAACAAAGTATAATATCTCGCATTCTCAAAAAAATTGGTACAGACTTTAATTAATTTCCAAAAAGAAAAAAAAGAAGGGGAAAAAACCTTAATTAATTTAATTAATTAATATTTTACCCAAAAAAAAACCTTAATTAATATAAGCTAACTCTCGTACGTGGCGTAAAAGTTACAGTTGGGAGATAATGATTACTGGCCGTCGAACATACACAGCAGCAACTCCGGCGTCATTGCTCCCCGAAACCCTCACAATAAAACCCAATGGTCAAGCGCCGTCGTGAGTTTTCTATCTCTTTTCACTTATGATATTTGCATTAGGGCTTTTAGGTTTGTGTTCTTACGTTTTCTAAGCCTTATGAATTCACCGCTTTCACTATATATTGTATACCAAACATTAATGCGAACATCAATGAGACAAGTCTAGTTCCATTACTGTAATATCTCTTATTGATTCACCATGAAATCTTCTTCTTCACTGTCGGATATGTAGTAAAAAGGCTAGAGGAAATCATGGATCAAAGAAGAAGAAGAAGTGTGTTACAGGATCGTGGGATCTGAATATTCCCACAGAGCTCCTGCAAGAGATACTATCCCGGCTCGGACCAAAAGACAACATACATGCTTCCGTGGTATGCAAGACATGGTTTGAAGCAGCTGTTTCCGTCAGGAGGTTCCAGCCTCTTCCTTGGCTTTTTTATCCATCAGAAGAAGACGGAGACTACATTCTTTTTAACCCATCAAGGTCTCAAAAATATAAGCAGAATTCTCCAGAACTAAAGGGCCAAGAACTGATCTCTTATTCTAGGGATGGTTGGTTGCTTGTGGTAGAAGATAAACACTCGAAGTCTGGATTCTTTCTTAACCCGTTTACCCGGGAACATATCAGCTTACCCAATAGGCCACCCTTCTTCTCAGGCCACTGCTTAGCTTTCTCAGCCGCTCCAACATCAACTAGTTGTTTGGTGGCCTCGTTCACACAAAAAAGGAAAAGACACTTGGTGATCGCTACTTGGCGTCCTGGTGAAACCAAATGGACTATTCATCGCTACCCGACGACATCGTCCAGTGGAAGATGGAACAAGTGTGTCTTCTCGAACGGTGTGTTCTATGCTCTCAGTGACTGCGGCTTCCTTGGGGTGTTCGACCCGTGTAAAGCAACGTGGAATGTTCGTCCAGTGAAACCATGGGACTGTGCCGCCTTTTGTGATATAGATTTCAGTAGAAGTGTGTTGTTGATGGAGCATGATGGGAACATCTTTGTTATGTCGGGTGAAAGAGGCAACAACAACCGGTCGGTATTTAAACTAAACCAGGAACGCATGGTATGGGAAGAGAAGAGCGAAGAAGTGTGTGGTTTGACAGTATTTGCAACTTACGCTGCCTCTATAACAGGTTCTTGTTCATATCCATCGACTAATGGGCTACTTAGCGTGTACTACTCCCTCGTTGATGACAAAAGCTCCCGTTCCCCTACAACTACCTCTTTGCCTCACCGCGTCGCTTGGGTGGATCCACCTCACGACAACGTTAATCTGTGACTTGTTCCTTTATGTTTTCTCGGATGAAAAAAAACTCTTATTTATGCGTTTTAAAGGTTTATATGATTTGGTTACAAGTCTTATTTACATAGTTTAGCTCGGATGAACATGAATTAGATCATGTTTGTTCAGTCTGATTATAACTCTGATTATATAGACGCTTGTTTGAGGTGAAATCATGTGTGTTCTTCTATTGCATCGTGTGACAAAAAGGAGTAACTCTGTTTCTTAAACCTTTTATCAACACCGAGAAAGAGAATAAAGGTGAAGTCTATACTAAAAGCATTTCAATAAACTATCAGAAAAAACCAAACTGAATGGTCTAAATAATAGTTCAGTGACAAAAGATTAGTTTTAAAACACAAAGTAAACTCTTTAAAGGCATAAAAAGAAAAGCTGCAAACTAAAGCATAGTTTGTTCTGAAAACTGGGGAAACCAGAGCACAGTTTTAAGCAGCTTGTTGAGCAGAGAGTCTCCTCCTGGCTTCCTCAATGATGGTCAGCTTGATACCTTTTCCCTTGGGAAGAGAGACCCAGGGCTTTGTTCCTTTACCAATGGTGAACACATTTCCCAACCTTGTAGCAAACTCATGTCCCGTTGAGTCTTGGATGTGGATGGTTTCAAAGCTTCCCTTGTGCTTCTCACGGTTCTTTATCACACCAACACGCCCTCTATTTCTTCCTCCAGTCACCATCACCACGTTGCCCACATCGAACTTGATAAACTCCACAATCTTGTTCTCCTCAAGGTCGAGCTTGATTGTGTCGTTAGGCTTGATAAGCGGGTCGGGGTAACGGATGGTGCGACCATCATACGTGTTCAGGTAAGGAATGCCCTTCTGACCAAACTGGATCGTTCTCACCTTGCATAGCTTGAACTGCACAACAGCAAAAAACGATGATATTCGTTAAAACATACAACATATACAGACTTAACCTCTTATTTTTGACAGATTCAGTATTAAAGAGAACAAACCTTTGCCTCCTCGTCTCTGATGGAGTGGAGACGGAAACGTCCCTTGGTGTCATACAGAAGACGGAAGCTTTCATTTGTCTTCGGGATAGACACAACATCTGTGAATAATATTAACGCATGTTTGATTAAATCACTCCGATGCAGAAACAAAAGAGCATCAAAATCAAGAAGCAGAGACAAACTATAGCAAGACTCACCCATGAAACCAGCAGGGTATGTTTTGTCAGTCCTCACTTTCCCATCGACTTGAATATGCCTTTGCATCAAGATCGAAATCACTTCTCTGTATGTCAGAGCATACTTCAACCTGTTTCTGATGATAAGGAGGAGAGGAAGGCACTCCCTAGATTTGTGTGGTCCAGAAGACGGCTTGGGAGCCTACGCAAGAAGAGAGAGAGAGAGAGAGAAAGCATTATAAGCACAAATCGAATGAAAACTAAAGCTAATAAAAAAGCTCAATCAAACAAAAAAAAACTTACAAAGGCACCACCCAGTTTGTCAAGCATCCAATGATTAGGAGCATTGAGCCTCTTCAGATGCTTCTTTAAACCTCTCGCCTGCAGAAAGAAAATGATAAATCTAAATGTCAAAACACAGAACAGCATCTTCACACAAAACCTCAATCACCAAAATGTTCCATTAATCGACAGTTTTACACAGTTTTTAGCTAAAGTAACATCATTCGAGACTTCAACTACATACCCGGAAAATCGAATTCTAATTTGAAATCTTAACAAAATCAGAACTTCGATCGATCCCAAACCCATAATTACAGATATCACAGGACATCAAACGCTCTGAAGCTAACAAAGCAATTAACTTTGGAAACACTATCAAGAACCCAGAATCATATCAGAAATCTATCAAGATAGAGATAGCGATTGAGCCAACATGAACGTGTCCCGCACAGAACGAATTCACGGATTGAGACAAACTAACTATCGAAACAACAAGAACACATTTCGCAATCGCTTGTGATTATGAGAGTTTAAGAGAGAAAAAATGATGACGAACCATGTTCGCAGAGAAAGCTTTCTGATTCTTCCGCGGCTAAAGCAAAGCTCTCTGCAGTCAATCTATTTCTCTAGGGTTTGAGAAGCGAAACATAAAACCCTAATTCTTAACATGCAGAAAGTTATGCAGGCCCACAATAAGCCCAAATAGTATATTTAGAGTCCATTTAACACCGATTCTGGTCGATGGAGTCGACCTTTTGATACATCTTGAATTTGGACCAGTTTATTTTATTTTAGCTAATTTACTCTTCGTGTCTCTTTTGTTCAATATTTATGCTTTGTAAACTTATCAAAAAAATTGATCAATCAAATATAAAAGGGTGTATCAGATTAGCCGATTTGTATATGCGTCTTCTTTCTTCTATTCTCATCTCCTTCTTCATTTTTATCTTTGCTTTTGTTAGATCTAGGGTCTATCACATTTGCTAACGGTGAAAAATCAAAGACTTAAAGGTCTATAGGAACTTTAAACGAAAAAGTGCATATACAACTTACTCTCAAAGTGTATGTAGTTGATTTCTGCTTATCATACTAACATTTTTGTTCATAACTCAAAAGAGTGATGGTTGGCAATACTTGCTTGAAAAAAAAAATTGTATATAGGTATAAAATTTTGATTAATAAACTAATGTTACTTTTTGGTTGTGTTTTATTAAGTAGTCACCCGTCATAATCTACAATAGAGAAGCAAGTTATTGGCATGTATGCCACAAACTACAAGTCTCGCATAGATACACAGCTTTCTTGTTTGCTATCCGCAAAGGCCACTTGTTAACACAAATTTGATGGAGCATCTTTACCTTAAAGAGCTTTTAGCGGAAGTTATATTGTTGTTGTCATTTCGTTGGAGGCTCTCATGGGTAAGAGCGTGGCTACCATGGCCATAAAAGAAGATCTGGTTCCTTTTACAAAGGTGATGGTGTGTATACACATAGTATTTTAAGATAACATGTTATTGGATCTACAGTTAATTGGACTGATATTGAAAATATTTTTTTTAGATTGATAACATAAAAAAATACTCGATAAATGTAGATCTCACATGGATGGAGTAAATGTTTAGACAAACTTAGGATTCTTTTTTGGAAATTCCAAGATAGTTATAGGGTAAGAAGAACTGATGATGGTTTGATAAGAGTTGCGCATAGTATGCAAATAATTCAGTTGGTTGAAAATAAATTGGAAGAACTAGCTATAGCGTAAGACGAAGTGATGGTGGTTCCACTAAAAAATTTGGAGTCGATCAGATTGGGTAAAAGATCAAAAATCAGATATTTTGGATAATTTGTCCACCCTTGATGAATATTTACAAATTTGTCCAAATTTTGCTCATATATGTCTTTTGTTTCATATTTCTATTAGTTACAATTTGATTCTACATAAATATTGATAAAAAAATATTGAGGATAAACCTTACCTGATTGTTCTTGGATTGTTTTTAAAGTTGGTTGTCCTCTTGCTTTAAATGAAATTGATGAGGCAATTAATATATTTTACTCAAGCGTTCAAGCAAAACCTCAAAAGTAAGGGTGGGCATTCGGATATTCGGTTCGGATCGGATCGGGTATTTTGGGTTTCGACTTTCGGGTATTTCGGAACCAAATGATTTTGTACCGATCGGGTAATTTCTAAGTTCGGATCGGATTCGGTTTGAATCTCTTCTGGTTCGGATCGGTTCGGGTATTATTATTCGGATCCAATATTTGTCGGATTTGATTCCAGCTCGGTTCGTATTCGGATACTTGTACCTGATTGGTACCTAAAAGTAACCATATATAACCAAAAATAACTGAATGGAATTGACCGAAAATCACAAATGTTTTGCAAATTCAATCAAAGTTAAACTCGAGTATATAAGTTTTGCAAATTCATATTGTTTCCAAATAACATAAGTAGAGAATGATCTTGTTTTTAAATCGCTTGCAAATTCAAACATAAAACCAAATCAAACTTTTCCGAAGAACTTAGACCACCATCCCATTACATAAAACCAAAAAAAACAAGTTCAAAGAACTTAATGTCTTAAAGCATCTTGCAAAGTAAAAGCTTCATTGCTTCATTTTCTTCATGTCCCAAAGACTCTCACTCCCTGTTACATCAATATTATATCACCTTACTACCATTGTACTTAAAACCAAGAAATAAAACACCAACAAGACAAGTTCAACACAAAAGCCATGTACTAACAACTAAGAGTTCAAGTTCAAGTGAGAAAGTTCGATTACCTTAACGTTAATGCATCTTCTCTTCTCTAGTCCAAATTGACTCCTGCGTAGAACTCTGGAAAAGAGTGGGAAAAAATTACAAATCCAAATGCTAAAGTTTACAAGTAAAATGGGAAAACTATAAAGAAGGATTCAACTTACTTTTTTCAAGTTCAGTGTGTAAATCAGCATCCGCAAGTAGAATAGAGTTTGTAACAACTTTTCTATCAGTTAATTTAATCTCTGCCTTCATCCATTGCTCCGTACACATCAAGACCTCGATCATGTAGTGAGATAAACAGCTTCTATGAGTATCTATGATTCGCCCACTAGTACTAAATGCACTCTCAGATGCAACCGAAGACACTTGCATTGCAAGAACATCTCTAGCTATTTCTGAGAGGGTCGGGAACTTGCCAGTATTCACCTTCCACCAAGACAAAATATCATACTTGGTTCCAGCCAAATTTTTAGGATTTTCAACAGCATCCGTGAGATATATATCCAGCTCGTTACTTATCTCCTCAATTCCTATTTCATTTACGATTTCCTTGTAAAAAAAATCCATCCTTTCATATCCTAGATCATCATCCACAAAGTCTATATTTTGACTGCTTGAAACAAACTCTTGACCACTAGAAGATGAAGACAGTGTCGACTGAGATGCTTGCACAAATGGATCTTTCTTTAACCGAACATTGTACTCTTCTAGTAACGCTTTCATAACATCATACACTACTTGAACCATCACTTTATATTCAGCAGTGTCTTTGCCATAAAGTCTCTCAAAGCACATCTTAGCGAATTGGATTTTCTTAGTCGGATCAAAAACACTAGCAACAATCAATATCTTATTGATGTTCTTCGACCGTTCCCAATATTTGTCAAACTTTTCTCTCATATCTACGGCTTTAGCTGCTAACTCTCTATCTAAACTATTGATCTTGTTCATTAAATTCCTTTCTATAATCACTATTTCACCGTAGCACTTATAAGAGCAAATAGATGTAGACGCCAAGACAACCAAAGTTGAATTGTAGAAAATGATTAGAAATTGTACTAACCTCTCCACAGCTTTCTAGTTGCCAGAGAGAGGAGGTCCAATCCTTCTTTTACCATTCTCATATTCCATGAAATAGTCGTTGTAGAGCTTGTCTTCAAGTTCCATTCTATCAAATGCAACCCTGCACTTAATAGCTTGTAACAACATCAAATATGTTGAATTCCACCTTGTTTTCACATCCAAAGGCAAACTCCCTCTACTTATATTTCATGTGTCGACCCTATCATCAAAAGAGTTCAACCTGTTTGTAGATGCCCTCACATACTGCACTGCATTACGAATGGCTGTGATATTATCAGCTAACTCGAGCAAACCTTCCTTGACAACCAAGTTGATAATATGTGCGCAACACCTCACATGCATAAGCTCCCCGTTTAAAACCAATGCTTCATTGATCAGTAACTTGAATGCGCTCTGAAATTTCTTGAGTGCGGATGTATTGGCGGTGGCATTGTCAACCGTGACAGTAAATATCTTCTTTATTCCCCATTCAGCCAAACATTCAAGAAGAACTCTCGAGATTGTATCCCCTTTATGATCGGTGACATATTTGAACCCGATTATCAGCTTCTTCAAATGCCAATTTGCATCAATTAAGTGTATGGTGATCACCATATAACTATTACCTGTAGGCCGAGCAACCCATATGTCAGTAGTAAGTGACACTCGTTGCTTATTGGCTACAATATATACCCTAAGATCCACTTTCCTTTTAGCATACATCTTCACAATGTTTCTTGTAGCAGTTCGTCTTGAATGTGGAGAGTAAAGATTGACCTTATTGCAGAAGTATCTCCATGCCAGCGATTCAACAAATGCTAGTGGCAGTTCTCCAACACTAGCATCTCATCAGTAGCCTCTTTGAAAACCTCAATGGAAACCTTTGCCTTGCTCATATTTCCATCCTTAGTAACAACTCTTGTATCTGAAGCTTTACTTGCTGTATAGGCCAAGAACTTCTTACGGCTTTTCAGATGCTTCATCAAATTTGAAGTCCCTTGTGAAGTTGCACATCCGAAAACTCGCAAACAATGGTCATATTTGTATTGGTCATAATTTTCCTCTAACCTTATGTAATTATCCCACACGGGAGATCTTGTAGTCAGTAGCTTATTTGGCTTAGGTGGCTTAGATGTAGCTCCATTTGTCCCCTTTCGTTTCCCACGAGTATTACTCTTAGGCACTTTTTGAGTATTTTGAGTTTTAACATCTGGAACTGAAGAAGAATCCATCTATAGAGACAAAAAAAATAAACATAAGTAAATCATGCTGTAATACTAAATATAGTTTTGAAAAAAGAAAACCAAATGAAAGTATGAAAACAAGTTCTTCAAGTTTGTAAACAAGAAGCATAGTATTAATCAAGAATAATAACTCCACGTTCTTCTTATTTGTAAATTACAAGCATCATATTTGAATAACTCTTAAGAACCGTTAATGACAATGAATCAATCCTACTTTGTATACTAAAAAACAGCAACTTCTCAGTCACAAATTAAAGAAAATGAAATGAATCATCAACTCTCAATCACAAACTAAAGTATCAACCGATAAACTAAGAGCAGCATCACATGAATTGCAAAACAAAGAAGAACATTATGCATAGAGCTTTTGATTTCTCAGTAAATTCACATAATGGAGAGCAACTAAAAAACAGAGAAAATCGAGAGCAGCATCACATAATCGAGAGCAGCTAAAAAACAGAATGGTTTCTTGAAGTTGCAATTAAAGAGAATGAAATGAATCATCAACTTTCAATCACAAATCAAAGTATCAACCAATAAATTACATTATGCATAGAGCTTTTGATTTCTTACCCGAGACTGCAATTTCTTGAAGTCGCAGAGGAAAGATTGGCTGCAGGGGAATGATTTTTGGATTCCAGTTTTTCGGATTTAGCATTTGAGAATGAATGATAGGGTCAGGTTTTACCCAAATAAAAACTACTGCAAGTGCACAG